AGGAAGAGGAGGAGGAGGAGGATAAGGAGGAGGAGGAGGAAGAGGAGGAGGAGGAGGAGGAGGAGGATGAGGTGGAGGAGAGGAGGAAGAGGAGGGAAAGGAGGAGGAGGAGGAGGAGGTGGAGGAGAGGAGGAAGAGGAGGAGGAGGACGAGGAGGAGGAGGAGGAGGAGGAGGGAGAGGGCGCGGATGAGGGGAAGGAGGAGGTCGAAGGAGTTACAGGCGCCCGCTGGCGGACACGACGACGGAGCTGGGCCGCGCGGCGCCTGCGCCCGGCGCAGCTCCTCCGCGGCCCGGTCTCTCGCGGCGTCGCCGCCTCCACAAGCAGGGCGCGCGCCGCGGCGCAGCCCCGCGGGTCGGCGACGATCAACGGCGACGGCGACCCACGGCGAGCACCACTAAGACGGAGACCACGACGTCGACGATCAACGGCGACGGCGATTCGAGGCGAAAACTATTCGGTGAGGAAGACCACGGCGGCGACGATCAAGGGCGACGGCGAACCACGGCAAAGACCACGCGACGACGAAGACCATGACGCGGACGATCAACGGCGACGGCGATCCATGGCGAAGAACACGCGAAAACGAAAAGGGTGCTTGGCGCGTTAAGGTGTTATACTTTATTTCTGGCCCTTCCTACAAGTTCCCAGGGGCCTCTGGCGCCAGCCATCCAGAAAACACCCACGAAGGTATCTCCCACCTGCTGCCCCACGCAAGGTAGCTCCGAGAAGGCTTGACGACGGCCAAGGTGGCCCAAATTGCCTCCAAGGCGGCCAAGATGGCCCTGAGAGGGCCCAGGGTGCCTCCAAGACGGCCCAAGGTGGCTTCGAGACGGCCTACCTCCAGAAAGTCTCGAAGAGGCTAAACTCATTGCTCCCCTATGGTTAATACATGTCTTCCGTGATCTCGCCTGTTCGGGCTTCCAACAGCCGGAGACAGTCCAGTGGCTTCCAAGAGTGCCCTACGACGGGCATCAAGCCCCAAAACTGCCCAAGAAGCCCCTAAAAGAGCCCAAAGACAGGCCAAGAGCCAAGAGGCCCCCAAGACGAGAGGCCTCGAAGACGGCACTTCAGCGAGCACCTGAGGCCCCCAGGAAGCCCCCGAAAGGCCCCAAGAGGCCTCCGAAAGGCAAACCAATGGCGCCCAACAGACTCCTGGGAAGCCTTTAGGAAACCCTAAGATGGCCCGAGAAGGCTTTTCCCGTGTGTTCTAGAACAACAAAAAAACATAAACATAAACTGTTGGAGGTCCGCGCAGATCTCTTGGATCCGCCTCAGACCCCCCTCCCCGGCGCGCGGAGCGCGCCAGGGGCGGCGTCGGAGTCGCCGCCAGGATGGCCCAGCGCCGATCCAAGAGATCCGCGCGGAGCGCAACAAAAATATGTGTATGTGATGTTTTCTTCTCCGATTCTCTCGAACGGTCACACCAACGGTCTCTCATTCCAACAGCTCGGCGACACGTTGCCCCGACATCCCACCACACGTTTCCGAGAACCCTAAGACGCCTCCTCCTACTTCTATGTATTTTCCTTCCATGTGCCCGTAAGGGTTTCCACACCAGCTGGGGGAGCACATAGTCCAATAGGTTGGCCAGGGTTCATCCCGAGGTTTACCCACAGAGGCCCTACCGAAAGGCAGAGAGTGGCGGTGGTTCGCGAAAATGTCGCCGATTCAAATCACAATGATAAGACCGCGCACTATACGCCAATTCCTGGAACCTAAATTCAAAAGGCTGTGCACATGAAGCCACAATCCGCGCATTTCCATTCTGACGCAAGATGAAGCCATGACGACACTTGCCCAAACAGTGCTTGCACATGGGGGCTCTAACTCCAAATGCCAAGGACTTTGATGAGTCATGCGAGCTTTCGCCACAATGCCGCCTTGTTGCCGCCTCGTGCGCTAGATGGGTCTGGCGAGGTTTTGCCACGTTGCCGCCCGCTGGCGCCTCCTTGCCGCCTCTTGCGCCGTGTGGGTCCAGCGAGGTTTCACCACATTGCCGCCCGTTGCCGCCTCGTTGCCAACTCGTGCGCTGAATGGGTCCAACGAGGTTGCCGCCTCGTTGCCGCCTCGTGCGCTGGGTGGGTCCAACGATGTTTCGCCACGTTGCCGCCTGTTGCCGCGTCATTGCCGCCTCGGTGCCGCCTCGTGAGTTGGGTGGTGCTGGCAAGGTTTCGCCGCATCGTTGCCACCTCGTGCGCTTGGTGGGTCCGGCCAGATTCGCCACGTTTCCGTCCTTTTCCACCTCGTTGCCGCCTCGTGCGCTGGGTGGGTCCGGTGAGATTTCGCTACGTTGCCGCCGGTTGACGCTTCGTTGCCGCCTCACGTTCGCACCACGTATACCGCACCACATAGCACGCGCCACGATTGGGCTTCGTTCGTTGGTTTTGGGTTGGCGCAGACGGAAAAGTACGATACGTTTCCGCGCAGTCAAGCATCTCAAATATCGTCCGAATAATCATCCCGCAACTTCAACCAGCCAGCTGCACCGTGAAACGAACACGGCATGGCGTTGCCGGCGCCGCTGCTGGCCTTCAGGGGAACTTGCGCCACCAGCGATGGCCTCGGCGGAAAGAGAAAGGTTGGGGCGAGAAAGGAGCACCACCCCGGGTCACAGTCAGGGCAAACGACACATGCCGCCAATCCAACGAACAGCATACAGCCAGAGCGCATCATGAGGACGCGCGGTGACGACGCAAGGGCCTTGGACCCAAGGATACCCTGACAGACTGGACCGCGAAAGCGGCTAAGAACGGGCCGAAGAGGCAAGAACTCAAGGTCACCCTTGGGAAATGACTTGCCCTTCTGATCTTGTTTGGCTGTAGTCATCGGTGCAGTCCGTGGTGCTGACAGAGTTGGCGGCAGGCGAAGGCCACTGGCAACGTTGGAACTCCCTGGATCCGCTGGTCGGCGGTGGAACGCGAACACCGCAGAACTTTTTCGTGCAAGCGCGCCCCCCCCTCCCCCAAAAATCTACGCAACCACCGCCCCCTTACCCCGCCTCGACCCGCCCCCCCTCAGAGGAGAGTTAGGTCGGGCATGTCCCCCCACAGGCGGATTTTGGGCGACAAACGAAACATAGTCCAAACATATTCCAAAATAGTCACAACTAGTACTGAAATCGTCCCCAAACCATTTTTCCATATTTTTGCATATTCCGCCTGTAGAGGGACACGCCCGACTCAAGAGATCCGCCCATCCCGTCCACCCCTCCAGAGCACAGGATGGCACGGGGAGCGCGGGGGCTACGATGCCGGGCGGCGGCGGTGACTCGCCACCAGCGGGGAGCTGCAGGACATCACTAGGCCCAGCGCCAGAGCATCGCCTGCCTTCTCTAGAGCAGGGAATCCTAACCACCCCGACCCCCAAAGATAACGACCCCCTCCCCGAAAAAAATGCAACCCATATCAAGTTGGTCACGCGCTCCGACGCAGCGAACACCAACCAATGACATCCAGCATCCCAGGATAATTGCGAATCACCGGGCATCGACGCACCGTTAGCCAGCGTGGACCCCAAGCAGTGAATGATTGCACCGTGGCGGTGAAAGGTATGCTGTGCAAGCTGTGTAAGCTTTGCACGGGGCGCCCACGAGGAGCTCACCAACGGGCACGGGCGCCAACGCGGCGAACCCCCTGGAAACCAATTCAAATACTGAAGAACACCGAGGACGACCCCTTTAATGCACGCACTGATTTTGGAAAACAGATGTGGACGCAATCCGCGGACCGAGAATTATTGTGTTTCTACTCATCCTTCCCTTCCACCGCCCTCTTCCTCCTGATTCTCATCATCTTTCCTCCCGCCTCCATATTTCTCTCTCTCTCTCTCTCTTCTGCACGCTCATCTTCCCCCTCCTCCCTCCGACCATCGTTCCCCATCCAATCCCTGGCGTTCCACATGTGCCAATGGATCAAAAAATGTCAGCCTGAAACATATCAACGTTGCTTCTCCCTGCCACCCACCCCCTCGGCCACAAGAACGGCTGGCTAGGGCCGGGGAGGGATGACCACGGGGCGCATCCGCGCTGGCCTTGCTGCAGGGCACGAGGTATTGGGAGCGGCGGCGGCTGTCTGAATAAACAGTCCTTGGGCGCCCGAGTTATCCGGGATAACTCGGGTCCGGGGTAACTCGGGTTTGGATTCCCGAAAAAGGAACCCGAGTTATCCCTGACCCGAGTTACCCCTGATGATTCGGGGCTCTTGGACGCCCGATTTATCCGGGGTAACTCGGGTCCAGGATAACTCGGGTTCGGAATCCCGAAAAAGGAACCCGAGTTATCCCTGACCCGAGTTACCCCTGATGATTCGGGGCTCTGAACAGTCCTCTCGCTCCCCCCGCGCCCCCGCCCCCTCGCCTGCCCCCGTGGACCTGGACCCAACTGCGCCTGCCCGTGTCGCCCGTGGCCGCCACAGGCGGGTCTGGAGGCGGACAAGGTGGCCTGCCGCACTCGCCCGAGCCTGCAGCGCGCTCGACCCCCCTCCGTCGCCGCCCGCCTGCAGGCAGGCCCACCCCGAGCTGCTCCGCGGGCCCCGGAGTTCTGCTTCCCGGCATGCGGGGGGGATCGTGGTTTGCATGGCGTGCGGACGCACGCCAGAATCGGGACGGCCTGTCAAACTGGCTGAGGCATGCTGCGGTGGGCCAAGTAGCACCCTGTCTCTGGGCACATCTAACGCGAGTCCAGTGGGCAATTCGCCTGCACCCATGCGAAGAGAACATGTGATGTTTGACACGAGCTCGCCCCACTTACACAGGTGTTGTCCTAGTCCTGGTGCGATGGGTTTTCATGTCCTTTTTGATGGGGCCTGCGACATGTCGTTACCTTGGTGGGGCTTGACAGATTGTCGGTCGCACCTAACGGGGCCCCAACCGTCTTGCAGTGGCTGGATTCCACCGCTGATGTTTCTTATTTTGCCTTCGATCCCAAACGTGGAGCGGACTGTCAATCTCAGCGGAGGCACAAGGAATAAACAGAAGACGAGTGAGGACTGACATTGTTAACGTGCGCGTCACCTTTTCTCTGTGGCCAAAGCTCTTGCTGACGCTCTACGCGGCTACGGCGGCAAGCGAGAGCGGCACAGACGTCAGCCTAGCAGACAACTGGCCAACGCGCTGCAATCCCCCAGGGCCCAGGGTGGCAAACAAAAGCTTGGAGCAGAAAGGGAAGAGACGAGATCCCCGAGACGCCCTCAAGAAACTGGACAACGAAACGCGGGGCCCGGACGGTCTCGAAACGGGGCGGTGACAGACCGCGCGGTGACCTCGGACTCCTCCAAAGGCCTCCCCGCACGGCTCTGGGTCCCTGGCGGCCCCCGTCGCCCGAGACGCCTTCGGAGAGCGGTCCCAGTCCCAACTTCGTGCGAGCAACCCGGACCCCCCCCCCACTGACTCACCCACACGGTGTGGCCACCGCGCCGCTTTAAGTTCCCAGACACCGGACGACCCGATATTTTGCAGTGCGCGGCCCCAGAGATCCCGACCACCTCCCCGGGGGGTAGGTGTTCGACCCGGGCCCGTTCTTGATGGCTCCAAGGCCCAGAAAAAGCCTCCCAGGGGCTGAATCGAAGAAGACCCGCCCGCGCCAGCTGAGAGACGAATGAACGTCGGAGAACCCTCGACGCACGTTGTTCATCTTTAATATTCTTCCGAACGTCGATATCGAGAGGTCTCGACCCATCCCAGGACGTGATTTTGATCCGGATTCGTTCTTGTTGACGGTCCCCAGGCCTGGGGCCGAACATTGAGAAAAACATCCCGTCGTGACCCGATGGGATCTGGACCTTGGGGGCCCCCAGGAGGTCTAGGCAGGGAGGAAGGGAGGCCCTTGAGAGAAGTGGCGGGGGAGGCAGGCAGGGCGGCGATGTGCCACCCCGAGAGCGAGTCCGCACGCTTCCCGACGAGGTGGGGCGGACATCGGGCCCCTCTCGGCGATGAGTGGGCGATGGGGGGTCGATGCGTCACCCCTGAGCCTACCCCCCCCCCCAAATGTGTGAAGGAAGGGTTGATCGAAGGGCCGATCCCCTCCCGACCATGGGAAGGATAGGAAAGGTATGGGGGGTCGTTCACACCCAACGTTCAGCCCCTGGCTTTCGCGTGTAACCGTTCGGGACGATCTGGGCGCCCCAGGAGGCGCCCTCGGCGAGGCGCAGCCGCTGGAGAGCACCCCGAGGCCAGAAAGCCGCCTCTCTTCCACCATCCTGTTGGCCATGTGTTATCCTGTCCTATTAGGTCTTCGCTTCCAGGGCCCCTTGGCGGACCCTTGCGCAATGTCTTTCCTGCTGCTCCCTGCGCCTGTGTTTCCCGCAGTCGCGGGCGAGAGGGCCGTTCGCCGATCGGCCGACGGACGCTTCGCGCATGCGTGCCCGCGGTTGCCCCAAGAAGGCAGGGAGGAGCGGGGGAGGGCGGCCACAGGGGCGGCGCCTTGGCCCTCTCCCTCTGGAGCTCCTCCGTCGCCGCGCGCACGTCGGCCTCGCTGGAGGCCAGCCGCTCCTGCGGCGCGGGGCACCGGAGAGGAGGAGGATTTTGGTTCATCGCGACGCGTCCGTGTCAACAAGTGTCATGCTGACCACGGCGATGGAGAGGAAAATGGCACTCCTCTCCCTCGTGTTCTGCTGAAAGGAGGAGGAGGAGGAGGAGGAAGAGGAGGAGGAGGAGGAAGAGGAGGAGGAGGAGGAGGAGGAGACGGAGGAGGAGGAGGAGGAGGAGGAGAAGGAGGAGGAGAGGGGAGAGGAGGAGGAGGGGAAGGAGGGGGAGGAGGAGGAGGAATAGGAGGAGGAGGAGGAGGATGAAGGAGGAGAGGAAGAGGACCCCCCCCCGTGAGAGCGGGGGAGCATAGCTACCCTGCCCCCTGTGGGGATCTTCCTCGCCAGTGCTGCTCTCCTTATCCTCCTGATGCCATTGCACGCTCTAGCTGAATCACCATTCCTCCAGCAGCGACAGCTGCTGGGCAGGGGGGGGATGGCTGCGCTCGAATCGGACTCGAAGGCAGAAGGCGACAGCGACAGCGACATGAGGAGGATGAGGAAAAAGGAGGAGGAGGACGAGGAGGAGGAGGAGGAGGAGAAGGAGAGGAGGAGAAGGCGACGGCGCCCGAGGAAGAAAGGAGTAGAGGAGGGCAGGGAGAGGTCCATCACACAAAGACCGCGAAGAACGACACAACTAAGGAAACATGGTCAGAAACGTCAGACCGGTGTTTCGCACCCAGTTCATCATGACGGGGCCCGCCACAAGCGAGACCTGTCCATTGAGGGAGTTCAGTTGCTGCCAGAGGAAGCAGGAGGAGGTAGAAGAAGCACAGGGGAGGCCGTATGCATTGGAAGATCTATCCACGTGCGCGCTTACATGAACTTATGGTGTACATCATCACGTCTCCTCCGCACCGGAGCGAAGATATCAGGAAGCCGATTGTGGGAAATTAGCCCCGACCGTGGAGCCACACTAAGCGGGATCAGCCCAGAGTTAGCCAAGGCATAAGAAGGTCTACGCTGGACTAACGGGATGATGCAGCACTGCACGGATCAATGCTGGATCAGGTCGCTTTCTGGGCCACTGATCTATTGTAGCGCGGATGCAGATTTGAACCTCCCAGGATGAGCATCTCAGGACGGGGGAGGATCGAGGAAGATCGAGGATCGAAAATGATAGTATCGAGGAAGATCGAGGAAGGGGAAGGAACATAGAGGAATATCGAGGAAGATCGAGGATGAGCAAGATCGAGGATGCTAGTAGCGGCGAAAATAAACAAACCTGAAGAGACAATACATAGCGAACGACCTCACGCCGCGGCTCACGCGGGCCGCCCGCGTGGGAAACCGCGTTGAGAAGAGGGCGCTTACACACGGCCTTACGCGGGAAACCTACGCGTGAATGTCGGAATCATCGACCCCGTTTTCTTCCGTCGCCCATATGGCTCCCGGGCGCCTTAACTCCCATTGGTGCAACCAGAGGCCTGGTGCACAACATAGTGTGCCACTCAAGAGCAGGGCAACCATGAAGCAACACCAGGAAACTTACTGAATGCTTATCAGGCGTGCCCAACATAGAATCGAGAAGTCGGATCGGCGATCGAGATTAATCGGATCGGCGGAGATCGGCAGCCGAGTCCAGAGAAGTAGTATCGGCGGAACTCGGCAGGCTAGTATGCCTCTGTTGGAAAACCGAAGCCCACATCGGAATCCTGAATCGGCTCGGATGGGAATCGGGCGCCCACGACACCGACTCGGATCGAATCGGAGGAAGCGGAACGAGCCCTGCCCCGCTGGCTTCGTCGAGGCACCACGCCCTGTCTGGATTGCAATGGTTCAGCGTTAAGCTGGGCCTGTCCTCCTACAGGGGGATTTTGGACGAAAAATTAAAAATACCCAAGAAATGCCCCAAAAGGGTCCAAAAATATCCGCCGACCCTGTCGGCGTGTGGCGCTACCCGCCCTTTCCCTGAGCCCTCCCCCTCCTCCTCTTGCGCGCCAACCAAAACGAAAATGAGCAACGTCGTAAATGCGTCGAAGGGAAGCCCCTTCCCTTTGATCCCTTCACCGCTGGGGGGGGGGTCCCGGGGGGGGGGTCGTCACTCAGATACGCATCCCCCGTTTGCGGCTTTTTACAGAGGGGCCCTCTGTAGATGCGCTGGGGGGTCGCCACGACGGATCTGCAAGAGCGCCCCAAGACGGCCCAAGCCCCACAAGACAGCCCAAGAACGCCTAAGGACGGCCAAAGGGGGCCCTCAGACGAGTCAAAAGGGCCCTATAAGGACTCTCAAGAAGGCGCGGAGAGGCCATACCCATTGATTTCAGGAGAGGTTTTGTCCCCGCCCTATCCCTCCCATTTCCGTCGAGAGCCGAGGCCTCCAGAATTGGTTGCTCCTACTCGCTTCCTCTCGCTGCTCCTCCTCCTCTTCCTCCTCCTCCTCCTCCTTATTCCTCCTCCTCCTCCTCTCCTCCTCCTCCTCCCACCTCCGTCTCACCTTCCCCCACCCCTCCTCCTCCTCACGCTCCCTCCTCCTCCTCCTCCTCCTCCTCCTCCTCCTCCTACTCCGCCTCCTACCCCCCCCCGCACGTTTTCATCTTCGTCGTCTTCAAGATCGGCGGCATCGGCCGCTAGGCCTTCGCAATACCCCAAAAATACCTGGGCCGGCACGGAAACGGAAAGAGCGCTTCAACAACTGGACCGAAATTAATCACACCACCGTTCGTACTGGGAGCCTTGGCGTTGAGAGCTTGTTACGTCACCCCTCGCTCTTGGGAGCCTTGGTGTTCAGAGATTGTTGCGTTGCCGCCCGTTCTGAGCCTTGGCTGGGCCTTGGTGTCAGGAACTTGTTACGTCACCGCTCTCTGCTGGGAGCCTTGGTCTTATCAGCTTGTTTACGTCACCGTTCGCTCTTGGGAGCCTTGGTGTGAAGAGCGTTTTGCGCTACCGATAGCTCTCTCTATTTGGCGTCTCTGGGCCTTCTTGGGAGTCCTATTGGACCCCTTGTCGGGCCCTTTTGGAGACCTCTTGGGAACCTCTTGGGGGCCTCTTGGGGCTTCCTGGGGGGCTGTGGGGGCCTCCTGGGAGCTTCTTGGGGCGAAGTTCGTGGTCCCCCTCTTGGGGCCGTCTTGGGGCCCTCTTGGGCCGGCTTGGGCGCCTCTTGGGCCGTCTTGGCGCCCTCTTGGGCCGTTTTGGGGGCCTCTTGGGAGCCTCTTGGGCAGTCTTGGGGCGGTCTTGGGCGCCTCTTGGGGGCCTCTTGGGCCGTCTTGGGCTCTCTTGGAGAGCTCTTGGGCCGTCTTGGGGGGGATCCCGAAAAACATGCAACAGCCCGAGGGAAAACCCGAAAACGGCCATTAACACGCAGATCCACACGCTTTGCCCCTCCCCTGGAACCCCTCCCTTTAGGGCTTCGCCCACACCAGAACGTCATCACTCGTACATAGCTCTTTCCGTTACCCCAAAAGGGTCAACAAAATACCCCCTAACATCGTCCCCAGACTATCTGTTTACTGTTTTTGAAGATCCCTTCTGTAGAGGGACAGGTACGACTTGAGTTCAGCGGTAGCCTCGTGCCCGAAGGGGGCGGGGGGCACCGGCGAGGGCGGGGGGCGGGCCTCGGCCCCGCATCTTTGGACGCCCGAGATGGGTGCGGAAAAAAGGGGTATAATGCCCGACAACAGGTGTTGTCCCAAACCAACAGCGGCCGCTGTTGGGCAGGCGGCCCTTCTGCCTCGAATGGGCACAGGCCGCGGCGGCGTGGGCAGCGAATCCTGTTCAAAATGAAGAGGATCTGCTGCTGGGCATTGTACCCATTCTTTCCGTGCCCATTTCGCTCGTGCAGGGCATCTGCCAGCCGCGCGGGGAGGAGGAGCGGGAGCGAGGAGAGGGCGTGCATCGGCACACGCCCTCGCACCAACCCGCGGGTGCGGACGCCCCGACCCCCGCGCCGCGCTCCCGCCACGCCTCCCCCCTCGAGCTCTGGGCGACGTCTTTCCCCCCCGGTCGCGAGGAGAAGGAGGAGGAGGAGGAGGAGGAGGAGGAGGAGGATGAGGAGGAGGAGGAGGAGGAGGAGGAGGAGAGGAGGGAGGAGGAGGAGGGGGGGGATGCGCGCGCGCATCAGCGCGGGCGGGCGCACGGCCGCGCTGGCGCCCGAGCGCGCCCCGCGCGCTCGGGGATGGGTCAGAAGACCCGCTCGCGGACGCCGAGGCCGACCGCGACGTACCGCAGCCTCGCCGCCGCCAAGGGCGCGCGCGGGGATGTGGTGCAGCCTCCCCCCGCGCGCGCCTCAGGGCCGCGGCCCTTCGAGGACGTCGCCGTCGATGACCGAGTCGCCGTCCTCGAAGCCGTGGTCGCCGAGCTGCACGATCTTGATGGCCACGCGGCCAGCGGCGCCTGGCGCGAAGCCTTTTGCCAGGCGGGCGATCGCCAGCTTGCCCTTGGCACCGGGCTCCCCGCAGGCACGGGCAAATGACGAGCTCCTCGCCGCGCCCGTGGCCCCGCAGACAAGGCAGGCCAGCAGCGGCATCTCGCGCTGCAGCTGGGGCTCGATCTGCGGCTCGATCTTCACAATGGCGTGCGCCAAGGCGCCCTGCGCCCGCAGCTTCCTATTGTGGTCCAGGGCGGGCGTCACAATCGAGCCAGGGCACTCGCTGGCGCGCTCCAACCAGCGGCACCTGCTGCACCATCGCGCCCCAGGCGGCCCACGGAGGTCGCAGCCGAGCCTGGCAGCAGCGGGCTGCAGCGCTGCTCGTGGGGCTGCCTTGTTGGGCTTCGCCGCGCGGTGGGCGGTGTCGCCCGCGCCCACGGCGGCCCCAACCGCGGAGACCCACATGGCCACACCCTCGACCAGCTCCCGTGCCGACTGCAGGCGTTGGCGGGCCTCAGGCGCGACTCTCGCGCGCTCGGCCGCGCGCTTCGCGGCCTGGTCAGCGATGCGGTTGCCGATCCAGTCGCGAACGGTGATGATGCCTTCGTCAACCACACGGCGGCTCGGGACGTGCGCAGGTACCTTCTTGAGGGTCAGTCCCT